CTATGTTTTTCTCTGAAGCATATTCTTATACAATTCTCCCTGTAGTTGATAAACTCCATGCAAAATAAAATAGTGTAAGGATGAATGTAAAATATGAAATGTTTGTGTTCACCTTTTTTCCCCAGAGGTGGCTGTAATGAGCAAGCACTAAACATACATGTCTATGTCGCCAAACAAGATACACAAAGAGCTTGGAATGTAAGACTTACATTAAGCAACACAAATATAATATATAAAACTACATGTGAATCTTGTCTTCACCAGACAGTACCCAGTTTCTCACTAAAAAGCAAAAAAGAAAGCATTAATTAAATCCAAATCGGTTTTCTGACTTAAAATGGATAAAATAATTCCCTTAAATTCTGTGTTCTACACCTACTACTGCAGAGGAAAGGTGAGGACAAGTGCATCCCTAGTAGGTGCAGTCGAGGTAATGAACCTACAACAAGGCATTGTAGCAAGACACCGCTCCGCAGTTAGTCAAAGCTTAAGGTGAGATATTACTTCCACAACCTTTCATTAACGATGCTAATTAACTATTTGATGCTTTGAATCGTGGCGTAACACCACCGTCAGAGGTAGGCCCTCTCAGGAGTATCTCAGCAGAGGTTGAGCAGAGTCATCTCTCCAAAACAGGTGGGATGGATGAAATGATTAGGTCATCCTGATGAGACTGAAGAACTGCTGAAATACTCCTGAAAAGGCCACTTCCCAAGGCTAGCTCTGCAAAACATAGCAATTACAGCTGCCTCCAACAAGTACTTTAGTTTTAGTTTTCTTCCGCTAATGAATATTAGCATTTCCATCATCTCTACTGTTATGTGTGGGGTGAGGTCTACTGTAAACTGGGGCAGATGGAGACTTGCCTTCTCTGTAGCAAGCCCTGTCTTGGCACAGCATGGTCAATACATTATCTTGTACAATATTAATTTCAAGACTGTCTGATTCTGTCTAGAAGCAACATGTATTCTCTAGCTACTAGGCAGTAGTACAAGCCTTTTCCATCATGCATCAGTCAGTTGTTATGAACACGGATGCAAAATAAAAGTGCTTTAAAAACTGGGTTCCCCAGATAATGTGCTCTTAAATGGAAATATATCGCAGCTGTCAAAGAACTGGTAGTTGTTCTATCCAGATTGTGGATGTGATGTCATAGGGACGATGATGTGTAACGCTCACCATGTTCTCTGAGAGGCAATTGGATTACAAATCTCTGTTACAAATACTTGGTTGTAGATTTTTTTAGTTTTTTTGTTAATTATATACAATTTCAATAGCGAAGGCAATGCTGGTTACCCAACAGGGCTCAGAGGGGAGTGGGGGCACATGAAAGAAGGTATTAGTGAAAAGTCTATAAAAAAATACTGTTATTCTTTTGGAGGAGAAAAATACACAAAGATTGATCAAATCTACACATCAAACTAATGGCACATACATACACAGGATCAAATACAAAATAAAAAACATATGAACATATAAGCTGACATTTTTTAAAGACTGAAAGTGCTAGAATTCAGATAAGCTCTCAGAAACCCAGGGAGGACAAACTCAATGCCAATTGCTTTTTCTTTTTTTTATCAATAAATGCTCAATAAATGAATAAAAAGATAAATGCTAAATTTGAGTGCTACAATTTTGCCTGGAATTGGATATAGCCATGGTATGGTCTTTCAAAATGTGCACTTGATATAAAAAAAAAAAAATTTTTTAAAGCATATATCAATATTTATATCCAATTACCGTTATAAAAAGAAGCAAATGCTTTCAAAGATGCGAACCAGATTTCTTCACGATCAATCATGAAATGTTCATAATTTAGATAATTTATCAGCCTAGCGGAAGTGTCAACATGAACTTTGGGGATTCATACCTGAACTTATTACCTCAAGTATTGGTTGGTAGTGGCACTAGGTGGCAACCAAACTAATGTTTATTTTAAGTTGTATTTATTTTCACAGACTGATAAGGCAATAGTAGGCTCTGGTGGGTTGGTCAATTTGAATAAACCATTCTACCATATTTTAAATGAAATAATAAAAATGTTTATTTTAATGAGCAATTGTGCAAGATTTTGTTTCCTCTCCCCAGGTTTTGGGAAGAAAAATAAAAAAATAAATGAGGTGATGTGTTGTGTTGTTTCGAGGTCCTGTTTTAACAAACAGAAAATAATATATCATATAACAACAAAAAAACGACTAAGAAACATCCCAGTCAGACGTCCCATGCTTTGAATGTCAAAGAGCAGGCTGGTGACTTGTTTGTTCTGAACCCTTTTCTCTTGAATCTAGGATGCAGCCGAGTGAGGAGTACAGAGAGGAACGGAAAACAGTTAAATCGGTACTACTGTGCATGTTTAGATCTTGCAATGTTGAAATGTTCTAGTGGTCTACAGTTGCTGGGAAACCGTAGCTAAAAGCAGCAATTTTGTTTTATTTTCCTTATGTTATATAGTTTATTTTTTATTTTTTTAATACTTGACTTATACTTGAAACTACTTGTTCACTAATAGTTGCATATGGACTGGGCTGAATACTTAAAACAGACAAAGTCAAGGGGGTTGAGAAAGTTTGCAAACCAAGAGGATGAGATTAATACTGTAAAGTTCAGTCCTTGTACTCTCAAGACACACTTTGACTTTCTTTTGACTAATGGACTTTATATACCCCATGTGCTGGGTATTCCAAAGCCTATCTATCTATCTATCGATCTATCAATCTACCAATCATGATGTCTGTAGGAAAGAGAAAAATATCATTAATTTCTTGGCCATACCAAAGACAGGACATTATTAATATTTTCCATCAGACTAATGTCACTTAAGTGATACAGAGCACCTATTATAGTTTTACAACTTTGGGCGTAAGTTTTCAACAGGCTAGTGAATATGAAAAAGGCATAAAATCAGGTTGGGTTTCAAACTGTGAAAATAGACTATCAATGTCGGTCATTCTTTTTAAAAGTCCTACAAGACGATCAAAGATTTAATATCTATATAATATCTATGTAAAATCCTAATGGATTCATGCCACTAACAGCCTACTTACTACACATTTGTCAAAGTCCACAATCCACATTTCTGTTCTAGTAGTACATGAACAGATAAAGAATAAATACAGCGGAGAGAGCTAAAGGGCAAAGCTAATCCTTCATCCATTTTTATCAATAAAATGCCAGATACAGACAAATGTAAACCTGCCAGACATTTAAAAAACATCATCACTTTCTTTTAATACGTCTATACTAAATACACCTTACTGAGATAAAAGCAATTATAATGTTCATTTTTGATGAGATATTTCATACACCGCAATAACATAATTTTACACGTTTTCCTTAACTGTTGTCGTTGATATTTTGCTTTGCTATTCACATATGTCAGGGTTATTATTACCATGCATCTCTAACAGACTGAATATATATTTGTTTTCATAAAAATAAAATCAGTAATATGTGGAAGGCGGGAAAAGGATGTGACATATTGTTACCATGGCGACTTCTTAAAACGAATGCTGGAAGAAAGACAGTTGAAGGAATTAAAATCCTCATGAGTCAAATAATGGTAATGACCTGTTTTCATGAGCAGCTTTTATAGGTGGGGTTTTTCCCACAAAGGGTCATCCTCACTGCCCTGGCCCTGCTTGAGGAGGTCAGGAGGGTTGCCAAAGAGATTCCTAAAGGTAAAGAGCCTTCTGCTAAAAAGTGCTGCTCTTGAGGAACAACATGGCATGTTTTCTACCGACTCAGGTGTTTTCACATCTGCTTTTCATTAAATATGTGGGTGTCAGTGGTCGCTGTGTTTGGCAGCATTGGTTATCAACGTTAATCAACTCTCTGTTTTCCCTTATCTTCTACTTCCTGCACAAGTGATATGCCTCTATGAGTCTGAACATTAATCAGTTGTTCCAGTTTTTTTTAAGAGCACTTTTTCTAGACTGAGATATTTTGTGTGTGGTTGTAGACTATTGGAGGAGGGCAATGTCAGTGGGGCATTATCACTTTAGTCCTTCACTAATCTTTCCCGCTGACAATAATGATGACAGACAGGGTGTGTTTCTGGGCAGGTGGTTCAGACCTTTACACTCATAGGAGAGACAACTTAGCATGTTCAGTCACATTTGAAAAAGCAAGAAAATTATATTTCACCCACTTCAGAAATAGTATTCTGGATCACTAGGCTTCTGGGTAACAAAAAATAGATAATTAACTCTAAAATTAAGATTTATTTTCTTAATATTATTACTTTATAAAGTAGCAGTACCACGCCTTCAGGCCTACTGATGCTCCTAACTACAGAATAAAGGGAGGGGAAGAGATGAGGGATTGGTTGGTGGTAGAGGTTAAAGACACCAGGGGTCTCTTCACAGTCCGCAAGTCCAAAAACGAATTCACGGCAACGCACAGTATTATACAGAGCCATGATCGCATGGAACTCCCTTCCCATCTCCAATTACTCACGCAAACAGCAAAATTACCTTTAAAAAACAGATTAAACAACATCTCATAGAACAGCTGGGACTGTGAGGGGACACACACACACACACACACACACACACACACACACACACACACAGACAGACACACTCTAACACACATTATATTTTAGTTGTATTGTTTGTATATTGTTGTATTTTAATTTGTGTGACTGTCTTTGTCTATCAGTGTACCAGTGTTTTGTTACTTGTCATGTTTTCTTTAATTTTGTTGTGGACCCCAGGATGAGTAGCTGCTGCTTCTGTGAAAGCTAATGGGGATCCAGCTAAACAAACAACAACAAAGAGAGAGGGATTAAATCATCATAGTTTAAGGATAGAAAGAAAACTCCTTAGTTTGAACGTTTCTCATCTTTTTCCTTTTGTTTTAATAAAGGGTTTAGTTTCCTCTAGGGCTCAATCAAAAGCTTTTGTGCGCTTCAATTAAGGCTTCTAAGTGTTCAAGTGTTTGGGTGTGAGGCAGTGAGCTGAGGGTGATGGTGTAGGGGCCGGGCCAGGCCTGGTGGCCCCTCATTGGAAGGCCTGGTGAAAGCGTGGCAGGGTGGTCGTGCTGAGGCTGGAGCTGAACACTGGCGGCAGGGGACGCAGGGGCCCTAGACCCAGGCCCCTGCTAGAACCCTGCTGGTCCTGAGGTTGAGGTTGCAAAGAGGTAAGAGGTGCGGCTGCTGCCGCGGCAACGGCGTGGGGCTCGGCGGCATGCAAGGATGACGATGACGAAGAGGAGGAAGAGGAGGAGGCGGCAGACGAGGTGTACCCCATGACTAGTCCTGCTGTGCTCATGGGGGCGTTGTAGGGGGGCAGGTTGAGTGGCAGGTAGCTCAGCAGGTGAGAAAAGTCCATGTTAGCAGCGCACAGAGACTCAGCGATGACAGCAGGGCTCTTGGACAGGAGGGGGTCTCCACACAGCTCGTCTGTCAGGCCTGAGGGGTGCTCTGGTCCCTCCTTAGGGGGCGAGGCAGCAGCATGATGATGATTGCCTGAGTGGGTGCCCGGAAGCCCACTCTGCAGATCCATGAGAAAGCTCTCCATCTCCACTTTGAGGGGCTTGTCCAGCAGGTATGAGGTAGATCCCAGCTGGTACTTGGGCGGCGGCTGGGCGTGCTGTTGGGGCTGCTGCAGGTGGGGCAACGGGGGGGAGTTTTGGATGTGGTGGTGATGGTGGTGATGGTGGTGGTGGTGGTGTGGTTGGTGGAGTGGGGGCTCCATTTGGCAGCCCATCCCCATGGCAGCAGACAGGGAGCCGGGCATCAGAGAATGGTGGTGACCCACTCCAGGGTTGGACATGGCCTGGAGGTGGTGGGGGTTGTACATGCCCATGGGGAAGGGGGTGCCAGTGGGGAACGGCTTGGCCATCATGGGGTCCTTGTTGGGACCCATGCTGCACATCATGGGGCTGAGCTCCTCTTTGACAATGCAGGGGGAGGAGCCAGAGCCCAGCATGTCCGGAGGCTTTAGCTTTAGCAGCTCCTGAGAGTGGCTCTTCTTCACATGCCGCGTCAGGTGGTCCTTCCTGCCGAAGCGCTGGGCGCAGTACTGACACAGGAAGTCCTTTCTGCCGGTGTGGACCACCATGTGGCGGCGCACGTCCTTCCGTGTGTAGAAGCAGCGGTCACAGTGGTCACACGGGTGCTTCTTCTCCTTGGCACCTCCGGAGGACTTGCCCGAGTGGCTCTTGAGATGCTCCAGCAGGGCAGGGGTACTCTCGTAGCTCTGCAGGCACACCTTACAGGTGAGGTCCCCTGCCGTGGCTGAATGCATGGCCACGTGACGCTTGTAGCCCAGCTTGGTGTTGTAGTGCTTGCCACACTCCTCACACTTGAAGGCCTCTTTGTTGGGGTCATGGGTCTGCAGGTGGTTCTTCAGGTGATCTTTGCGGTGAAACATTTTCTCGCAGAATGAGCACTGGTGAGTTTTCTGTGGAGAGTGTGTGGCCATATGCCTGGATAACGAAGAGAAAGAAAGTACAGAGAAAAGTTAGTCTTTGAAAGTGTTTTAGAAGAACTATTGAAGTGTTAAGAGTTTAAAAACTATTGGTGGAGTGCTGTGTTTTACCTGAATAGTTTATATTTGGAGCTGAAGGTCTTAGGGCAGTGTGGCTGGGAGCAGCGGAAGGGTTTCTCTCCCGTGTGACAGAAGGCGTGAAGCCGAAGCTTATCCTGCGAACCAAACAAAGCCCCACACACCAAACACTCGTTGCAGCTGGCTCGCTCGTCCCTCTCTCTTTCTCTCTCTCTCTCCTCCTCTCTCTCCGTCTGTCGTTCTCTCTCTCTCTCTGTCCGTGGCAGGGTAGTGCCGCTATACAGCTTGGCAGCGGCTATTCGTTCCTTGTCCTCCGGCGTCAGTGCGGTAATATGGCGTGGGGCATCGGCGGCAGCAGCTGCCATGGCAGCCCTAGGGTGCTGTTGCCATGAAAACCCGGCCGTGGCTCCCCTGCCTTCCAAGCTCTACGTGGGCAGTGGTGGGGCACAGTGAAGGGCGTGGCTACGGGCGGGGCTTAGGAGGGCTACGGTCTGGGGCTCAGAAAGTGCTGTTGTTGTCAATGTCTGCTGAAAAACAAAAGTATTTGTGTACTTGTTGTACTATGTGAGAGTGCAACTGTGAACATTTTCAAATTCCAGACTTATTTCAATGTTGGTGCGAGAAAGCAAAGCTAAAGCTAACCTCTCTCCTCCAGAACTGGTCCTCCTTCTCTCTCTCTCTCTCTCTCTCTCTCTCTCTCTCTCTCTCTCTCTCTCTCTCTCTCTCTCTCTCTCTCTCTCTCTCTCTCTCTCTCTCTCTCTCTCTCTCGCTCTCTCTCTCTCTCCTCTCTCTCTCTCTCTCTCTCTCTCTCTCTCTCTCTCTCTCACCCAGTCCCAACAGCTATGGTTGGGGTTGAGTAGGAAATGCTGCTCTGCATCTTCAGTCCCCTGTAAAGAAAAGAAAAGCAAGAAATCAGTATGTGACTCTTTCTCTTATTTATTTATTTCTGTGTATTCATGTATTTTGGCCAATGAGCCAATAAAGAATATTCCTGATTCAATCCGTATCGCCACAGATCTGAGTTAAAATGTAAAGGTAATGATTCAATCCATATCGCAGAAGATCTGAGTTAAAATGTAAAGGTAATTTCCGATTGAGCCGACATATGGTACTCCTGAGTGGCGCAGTGGTCTAAGGCACTGCATCGCAGTGCTAACTGTGCCACTAGAGATCCTGGTTCGAATCCAGGCTCTGTCGCAGCCGGCCGCGACCGGGAGACTCATGGGCGGCGCGCAATTGGCCCAGCGTCGTCCAGGGTAGGGGAGGGAATGGCCGGCAGGGATGTAGCTCAGTTGATAGAGCATGGCGTTTGCAACGCCAGGGTTGTGGGTTCGATTCCCACGGGGGGCCAGTATAAAAAAAAAATGTATTCACTAACTGTAAGTCGCTCTGGATAAGAGCGTCTAACTAAAATGTAAAAAAAATGTAAATGTAAATATGCGGCGTTTCCCACGGGGGACCAGTATGAAAATGTATGCACTCACTAACTGTAAGTCGCTCTGGACAAGAGCGTCTGCTAAATGACTCAAATGTTTTAAAAAAATAATAATAATGAATCCAGCCCCAAATCTGAGCTTATGGACTGATGTTGTTTTTCTGTTCTGAAAATTGAAAAACAGACTTGACTTCTGACTTTTTGACAGAGCAGAGTTCCAGTTCAAACACCAGTTGGGCACTAGAGGGCACTAAAGGACAATGTGGCATTGTGGTACACAAATTAAACGTGACTAATAGGAACGTCTTTTTAAGACTGTTCATTTCCAGTAGTTGAGTCATTCAGCCATCCCAGTATTATCTATTTTATCTATGTAAAATGGCAATGTCTTATCCACTGAGCGTTAGCCACACGTTATCATGTACAGTACCAGTGAAAAGTTTGGACACACCTACTCATTCAAGGGTTTTTCTTTATTTTTACTATTTTCTACATTGTAGAATAATAGTGAAGACATCAAAACTATGAAATAACACATATGGAATCATGTAGTAACCAAAACAGTGTTATATTTTATATTTGAGATTCTTCAAAGTAGCCACTCTTTGCCTTGATGACAGCTTTGCACACTCTTGGCATTCTCTCAACCAGCTTCATGAGGTAGTCACCTGGAATGCATTTCAATTAACAGGTGTGCCTTGTTAAAAGTTAATTTGTGGAATTTCTTTCCTTCTTAATGTGTTTGAGCCAATCAGTTGTGTTGTGACAAGGTATATAGAAGATAGCCCTATTTGGTAAAAGACCAAGTCCATATTATGGCAAGAACAGCTCAAATAAGCAAAAATAAATGACAGTCCATCATTACTTTAAGACATGAAGGTCAGTCAATCCGGAAAATTTCAAGAACTTTGAAAGTTTCTTCAAGAGCAGTTGCAAAAACCATCAAGCGCTATGATGAAACTGGCACTCAAGAGGACCGCCACAGGAAAGGAAGACCCAGAGTTACCTTTGCTGCAGAGGCTAAGTTCATTAGAGTTCCCAGCCTCAGAAATAGCAGCCCAAATAAATGCTTCACGGAGTTCAAGTAACAAACACATCTCAACATCAACTGTTCAGAGGAGACTGTGTGAATCAGGCCTTCATGGTCGAATTGCTGCAAAGAAACTACTACTTAAGGACACCAATAAGAATGAGAGTCTTGCTTGGACCAAGAAACATGAGCAATGGACATTGGACTGGTGGAAATCTGTCCTTTTGTCTGATGAGTCCAAATTTGAGATTTGTGGTTCCAACCTCAAATTTGTGAGAGTGGGTGCATGGAGAAGGAGGTGTGATGGTGTGGGGGTGCTTTGCTGGTGACACTGTCTGTGATTTATTTAGAATTATATCATTTGTTTTTCAACAGGACAATGACCCAACACCTCCAGGCTGTGTAAGGGCTAATTTACCAAGAAGGAGAGTGATGGAGTGCTGCATCAGATGACCTGGCCTCCACAATCACCAGACCTCAACCCAGTTGAGATGGTTTGGGATGAGTTGGACCGCAGAGTGAAGGAAAAGCAGCCAACAAGTGCTCAGCATATGTGGGAATTCCTTCAAGACTGTTGGAAAAGCATTCCTCATGAAGCTGGTTGAGAGAATGCCAAGAGTGTGCAAAACTGTCATCAAGGCTAAGGGTGGCTATTTGAAGAATCTAAAATATAAAATATATTTTGATTTGTTTAACACTTTTTTGCTTACTACATGATTCCATATGTGTTATTTCGTAGTTTTGATGTCTTCACTATTATTCTACAATGTAGAAAATAGTAAAAATAAAGAAAAACCCTTGAATGGGTAGGTGTGTCCAAACTTTTGACTGGTAGTGTACGTCCTCATCATGTTGTGAGTGTGACTTCATACATGTCCTCATCATGTTGTGGGCGTGGCTTCATACACGTCCTCATCATGTTGTGGGCGTGGCTTCATACACGTCCTCATCATGTTGTGAGTGTGACTTCAAAACGAACTGCAGGGTGCACAAAGCAGGCGTTGGTTGTGTGTGTGTGTGTGTGTG